TTGTCTTCTATTCTACTATCCCCTGGTATTGCCACATCAATTATCCGCACTTTCTTCTTTTTAGCGACAGTTAAATCTGGTGTGTTATGCACCAGGATTTATCACTTTGTATTTGGAAATCCCACATTTTAACTTGCTCATTTTCAATTACTTTTTCAACTATATGTTCCCACCAATTTTTAATTACTGGCAAATGATAATTTTTACAGATGTTCCAGTGAATCATTTTGTTGACTGTGTTATGTCGTTATTTGTAGCCAGTTTGTGCAATCTTCTTGCACAAGCTGAGTATATGATCTACTGTTTCTTCTGCTTCTTTGTACAGTCTGCACTTGAATCATCTGATGATTTTTCAATTCTGGCCTTGATTGCATTAGTTTGAATAGCTTGCTCTTGAGCAGCCAAAATCAAGCCTACAGTTTCTTTTTTTACTTGAATCATCTGATGATTTTTCAATTCTGGCCTTGATTGCATTAGTTTGAATAGCTTGCTCTTGAGCAGCCAAAATCAAGCCTACAGTTTCTTTTTTTAATGTTTCAAACATTTGATGATCCAACTACGTGGTAATGAATCAAATGACTTTTTATAATCAAGCCAATATTACCATCATCATCATCATCATCATCATCATCATCATCATCATCATCTTGTCTGATGCAGGTTTATAACACTGTTTTCCAAATCAGTGATGAGTATGCTGTCCTGAGCTCAATTTGAAACAAATTCAGAAAATCCAAACTTGGGACCAGGAAGAATTCTCTGTTTTTCCCCACCCCCAGCTCATAAGGATGGCTCAAAAGCACAGACTTTTCATGTTACTTCTGAAGAACTAGAATTTGCAGGATCAAGCAAGGCAGAGAAATGCTTGGCTATTCAATCAACTCCATCCCTAAACCAAACTTCCCAGAAGACATTCCTATTTTAAACCAAGTGCAAAAAGCAACTTGAAAAAAGTTTCCTAAACAAAGAAGAAATTAATAAGGCTTATGTAGGAGAATGAGTTAAGGTGGAGGTCTAGACCTGTCAATCATAGCTACCAATGAGAATCTGGGCTGCACAGAAGAATGTTGGTGCAAATGCCTACAGAGCTGCCACACCCAGTGTGCTAAAGAGTGTGACCACAGGTGTGCAAAATCTCATTTTGTATCCTGAACTTTGGTGAGAAGTGCCATTTGATTCCTAAGGCAGCTGAGCCTTTTAGGTTTGATAAAGGTGTTCTCTGAACTGAGTGATTATAAACTGGCTTTCAGTATAATCATATATTATATGATCTTTATTCCTAGGATTTAGAATTTGAGAAAGATCTCTTTCTGGCACAAAACTTTTTAACCACTGGGACAAATTAATATCTTGTTAATGTATTAATTAGCATCTTCATGTATTAATTCACAGTCTACTCTATTCCCTATTTGCTGAGTGTCTATCCCCCTTAGTCCTTGGCTTTTTTCCAATCATCCTTCCCATCCTCCTGGGCTCCTTCCCACCACTTTCCTAAAGTGATGTGTGCAGTTTTTCTACAACTAACCTGAAGTTTCATTTCTTATACCAAAACTACACTTTTATGCCAACTTTTTGTGATTAACCCTTTTCCCTCCATAAAAGAATGTTGATGAACATTCTATAACATCACAGAAGCTTTGGCAGGAGCCAAGCAAAAAGGCAGCAACTGTACGTATATAAACACATATGTGTGTGTATGGAATGTATTAGAACTCCCACCTGCCAAGCATGTCTTAGCATATCCCATTCTTTAGCTCTGAATTACAGTAATAGGAAGATAGCGTTTGTCAGGAGCAAGCCACCACATGCATAGAGTGGCTAGAGTGATGTAGGGTTGGTGATAGAAAATCCATCTTCAAATCCCTGCCTTCCGCAAATTGGAGCACAACATTACCATTCAAGCTAATCTAGTTCATCTGATTGGTGTGAATCCAGTGCAAGCTGTAAAATATTTTTACATTATCCATTCTTGGACTCCACTCATATTCATTAGAATACTGGCTCCATTCTGCTTAGCAGAGTACTGTAGCTTCTTGCACAAATCTGCTGATTTCAATCACAGAATTGGGGGAAATTGCTTTTTACTGAGAACATAGGTGCTTGGGTTATTGGAATGGTTAACATTAATATTAATCAAACCACTAGAAACCACTTTGCATCACAAAAATAAACCATAAAATAAATATCTATTTTTGCATGGGGCAACACCACTGTTGAAATTCTGTCAAATGACTATGATATCACAGCTGTAATGCTTGAAGTGTTTACAAAAATGGATGAGATCCATTCATCCCTCTGTTTCCTCGCCAATACAGTTCTACTGCAGCTAGGATCAAAACCCATACAGAGAGCCCTACACACAAGATATTACCCATCCTGGCTGTAAGATGAGGAAAGAAGAGAATAATCAGCATAAAGACTGCAGTCCTAAATATAGGTTACATAGATTAAGACCCGCTGAATTTGGTATGACTAACATTGAACTAGAGAGCCAGTTTGGTGTCGTGGTTAAAGCATTAGGCTAGAAACTGGGAAACTGTGAGTTCTAGTCCCACCTTAGGCACAGAGCTAGCTGGGGGACCTTGGACCAGTCACTTTCTCTTAGCCCTAGGAAGGAGGTAATGTTAAACCACTTCGGAAAAACCTTGCCAAGAAAATTGCAGGGACTTGTCCAGGCAGTCTCTGAGAATCGGACACGATTGAACAGATTAAAAATAAAAAACATTTGAACTAACATACGTAGGGATTATGACACCACATATCACATTGGATCTACAGGAGACTGAAGACCAATTTAGTTGTTCAACTGAATATATGATGAGGTGACTGGAGAATGCGAAATGAAAATTGACTTCATTCTTTTCTCCTGTTGGAACTCCATGCATTCAGCTGGAATGCCAAATGCTTATATGTGATGATAGCTCTCTGTGCAATCTGGTTTCAAGACCATGCTTTATTAGTGCCCTAGGTCACAATGAGTATATGCTCATGTTCTAGCCAATATGCATATACTTCTCCCTCTCCTGCAGAAATAGCAGGGAGACCAGGGATGCTATCTATCTAGGTTAACATCCTCTAGATGCTCACCTGAAAGCCGAAATAGTCTTGAGCGAGAAGAGCTTTGTAAGTACTAATTCATCATGAATGTAGTTCACACACACCCTTTGCAACTCTTATGAAGATGTACAACTCACCCCCCCCCCCCCAGTGGGGTAGAAGAGGAGGCTAACAGACATCAGGACCCACCTAGGCAACAGAACACTATTATTGCTTCAAGTTCTACAATAACCCACAGATCTGGCTGAAGCCTCTTTTCTCCCACAGCAGAGGAAAAATAGTCCCCACCCTGCAGCAGCCCAGGATGCTTGCCAGCCAAGAAAAGTTTTTGCAGAGGTACAAAGCTTATCCCTCTTAGCATTCTGGAACAATGTGTTTGCATTGAAGGAGAGTTAGAAGCAAAGACTGTGCAAAAATCTGGCTTGCCCCATAACTCTTCCTTTTAACACTGTGGTGGAGAGATTTTGGGGCCGAGCTTTGCCTGTGTCAAGACATATGTAGGGCTTTGCATGCAGTACAAAATGTTTTAGAAAGGACTCACAAGTTGCAGTGCCAGGTCTGCCTGTGGTCCCCAGAGCCTCTCCAGAACTTGCTGCCAATGGGTAAATTTTGATGCGATCAGTGAAAAAAATATTCATTATGAAATATGTTTTTGTCTTATCTCTTCTCTTACTCATCATCCCAGCAAACCATTCAAAGACCAAGTGCAACCCTCAGCACTTATATAAAATCAGCAGTGTTTGTGTTTGTGCCTTTGAGTCAGTCTTGACTCCTGGCGACTGCCTGGACTAGTCCTGCAGTTTTCTTGGCAAGATCTTCAGAAGTGGTTTGCCCTTGCCTCCTTCCCAGGGCTGAGAGAGTGTGACTGGCCCAAGGTCACCCAGCTGGCTTTGTGCCTAAGGCAGGACTAGAACTCACAATGTCCTGGTTTCTAGCGTGGTCCTTTAATCACTATACCAACCTCTCTCCAAAACCAGCAGTAGTTCAAATATCAGGACTTAAAGGTCTAAATCAAAGCAATTGATGCAGCATAAAAACTTGTTGGAACAAAGCCACTCTGACAACTGGGCGAAAAGACTTCAGGGCAGAAATTGGATCCATGTTAAAAAGGCCACTGCCATGAAGGACTCACTTCTCTGGTAATCTTCCTACCATATCTCAGGGACAATAGAGCAGATGTGCCAAGCAGGTAGTCCAATGAGAACCACATATACAGGCAGGCTTATTTGGGAGAAAATGGTCATTCAACTAGAGAATCATCACTGGATATACAGGCTGTGGGCCATAGAAATTGTAGTCTAACTCATCTGGGTTTTAAAAATAAACAGCACCCTGAACTCAGTTGAAAAATGAAGATGGGACCTACAAAGTGATTGTTAAATTTATGTCATGTACATGCTCCAAGGAGCTCAGTCAGCCAGTAACCTGGAGGTTACATATAGATACATAATATGCCACATTTCTGCCATATTATTAGTCACCCAATCAGGAGCATCCACAGAGGGGGTCAAAAAAAGTCAAGTTGGTGGCCATGCCTGTGCGTTTTTTTGTTTTCTTTTTGACCCCTTTGTGGATACTCCTAAATCCAACAAGCCTTGTATTTTTTCATGCTGTCTTTCTTCCTGCCATGTAAACAACGGAGGTATGGACCAACAGATATTCCTTCCGGGCTAAGCAGATTTTTTAGGCAACTGATATTTCTGAAAGAAAGCAGCTGAGTTTAGGGGGCTGCCGAGGATAATTTAACTGCTGCTGCTTTCCACTTTCACTGCAGGAAACCTTCCCTCCTTCCAAGCCAACTGGCGAAAAGAAGGTGGGGCGCTGCTTAAATTTCCTTTACTGTTATCTTTAGGTTGAGGCATCTTATCGGTTGGGTTGACGCAGGTCCCTTCCCTTCCCAAAGGAGACTAGCAATTCAAGGATGTTCCTTCCTGCTTAGAGAACCTTCTTTGAGGCAATGCTTAAAAGGGCTTGTGGAACAAAGGACTTCAAGTGGGAAGGGCAAAGCCTGGCCCTCCAGATGTTTTTGAATGCCAGGTCCCAGCAGCTGTAGCCAATAGTAAAGGATGATGGGAGGTAAGGCTTCTTGGTGTGTTTGCTTTACTAGGTTTATATTCTGCTTCAGTTAATGCAACTCAGGACATATTCAACATGTAAACAGGATTAAACACTAAAAATTAAGGTAATGGAATAATACACTCCTGAATCCATTTCATGCATCAGGGAACAATAAGAGTCAAATAAACAGACAATCTCAATGCAGAAGGAGACAAATTCATATCATAATTGTCCCCAAGGCCTGATGAAACAGCCAGATTTTAAAGGCCTTTCTAAATCCCAGCAAAGTTGGGTTGAGTCAAATTTCAGAGGAAATGCTGTTCTATATTGCTCAAATCAACAACCTCATCCTTTGCTTATCTCTGGCTTAACTGGTGGGTTTTCTTCTGCTGCTTGGTGGCTGGAAAAAGGTCTCTTCCCTTGTTGTCTCTCTGTCTGCTTCACAAACAATTGGGAACAGTTGTAATTCTGGGCTTAAGATACTTTTGGAAACTCCCCTGCATATTTGTACAAATTTGGATCAGGAATAAGATTCAGGTTAACTTCCATACTCCAGGATTAAAGCTCAGAGTTTTGCCAATTCTACCTGGAAATGCTAGGGATCAAATCCCGATTCTGCAAGTAGGAAAAAGCCAACAGAAAAATGTGAGTCCCCACACACCATGGAACCCAGTGCTGAAATTTGTTCAGAGAATTAGAATTTGAGATCAAACACACCGTGGCACATAGTGCTGGAAACAATTTAAAGAATGAACTCATGTTCTTTGATGAGTCTTTATTTAAGCAGGTTACACCTTAGTGCAAGAGAACCTTACAAATGTCACACCTCCCTATAGACAGCAAATAATCCTTGTTTCAGTCATATATTTTTTTGCTGTTCATGATCTGCCATTTCCTCTGCTACTGATTTGTTGTTCCGCCTTTTCAATGGTCTTTTTACAGCTGCTCTGGGACATTGTTGGCTTAAGGGAAAAAGCAGTACTGTTAACATCAGCACAGCTCAGGATGACTTTAAGCTGCCTCATTCATTGGTTAGGGATGAGATGAAAGCATCATGAGACATGGCAGGATAAAAAGGTCATCAGGGAACATTTTTAGGTATAAGTGGAGAAAGGTCCTTGGTCAAAGCACTTTTGTGATGTTTTTTAGATATTGTTTATGGTTGCTTCCAGACTTAAATAGTACAATCTTGGGTGTCTCTCTTATAATAGAACATTCTGTGAAATAAATAACAACCGTAATTCCCACCATCTATTCTGCTGATTTAGAAACAGAAACTGTACAAAGGTGGATTTCAAAGGTTTGCTTTCATAGTCCATGTCTCCCTCCCTGAGCACCTGCACCCACTCTTGTTTTCCAAATTTTGACATTAAGTTCATATTAGTGAAGCTGAAAATTGCAAATTCCATTGCCAATATTGAACAGCCTATATTATATTAGTTTATATCTACGTTTCCCACACTTGGCAACTTCCAGACATGTGGATTTCGGTTCCTAGAATTCCCCAGCCAGTATGGCCATTGATTGGAAAACATACAGTAGGTCTACAATAATGGATCTGCTTTCGATACTTCAGTGCATTGATTTCAGTGATGAGAAGAAGTGACAATCATGTGAAGAAGTCATTTTACAGAAAATAAGGGTCACAAACATTCTCCTTTCTCACTCATGAAATATTAGAAGATGTGGGTATGAAACTTGGAAATGTGGGTTTATCCACAAATATTCCCTTTCCTGGGGAAATCAGTCTTGGCTGTCATATGTTAATCAGGTCCTGGTTGGTTACCTTAAAAATGGTCTACAGTGAATGTACAGGCTGCAAATCCACACCTCACATTCCAAAATTTCAGTTGCTACTGAGGACAGATGTTCTTTCCGTCATGTACCCAAAGACAGATTCCCCATGAGTCTTATTGTTTCTTGTTTTTATTTTCTCCTTATAAGTAGAGCATTTTGTGTAACATTTGGCTGTGGCCAAGAAGATTTATTTTAATTTTTATCAACTTGTGAGCTGAAATTTAATATGAATGCAGAGATCCTGCCCTAACTCATTAATTATAACAGACAACCACAATTTTGTGGTCTGCTGAGAACATTGCATGTGTTTTGTAGGTCAAATTTCATATACCATATCTTTTAATTTATTTTTTATTTAAATAATGTTTCGTTTTGTTTTTCCCTGGTGAGAGTGGTCTATCTCCCCAGTGTCAGGAAGAAGTTCTGATTTCTCTAATCACACACATTTATGCTATAGGGCCAAGAGGTTGTATATAGAAACTATTTTCTTTTTTGGTTTTACCCTTACATACTCCAGAAGGTCAGTACAGGTTGTGGGAGGGAGGGAAGATAGTAGTTATTACTAAACAGCTACACCAGGGCAGAAGTTGGAGTCAGGGAGTCTAAACACAGTGGGAGAGAGGTTTGAAACCTCCAGCTTTAACCCTACAGGCTCAGCCCTACTGCTACTCAGTCCAATAACTTGGATTAAATTAGAGTGTAATAGCAAATATTGATTAACTGGATAGACTGTCCTAGCCCAATTTAGTGCCAAATTTATTAACTTCCAGTTTGTTTCCAGATGCACGGTTATGGGGAGAATATAAATGCTGTTCCTCAATTTCATCTTGTTTCCTCCACTTGAAAGAGTCCCATGGTTAGGAATGTAAAGCTTGGTCAACATGACTGTACAAGATCTCTTCTAATTCTACAAATGCTATGTCAAAGACAAGAGGAAGAATGTAGTCCTTTAGATATTGTAGAACTACAGTTCCCAGCAGCCCCAGATAGGAAGACCAGTGTTGAACATCTAGAGCAACAGAGATTCTTCACTCTGTCTAACCTAGGATTTCTGGGAATAAAACTCTCAGCTTAGTAGATTTATGACAAGGGCTTTTAAGACTTAGCAAAAGGCAGTTGATTATATTGATGGTATTATGATTCCACACACACAGACACACACACACACCACACACCACACTCTCTCTGTAGGGAAGAGGTGGGAGGATCTGTGAATAAAAGGAAACAATTGGTTCTACAACTGGTCCTGAGAAGAAAACCAGTTTGGTTCTGCAGGAGATTTGGGGCCTTTTCCTAGAAATTATGATGTGAGACAGTGATATGAATCCTCATTTTATAACACTGATATTAATCCTTGTGATCTCTGCCAAGGAAATGGAACTAACTTCTCACTACTTAGAAATGAGGTACATGAACATCACACCAAATAGGTGAAATAGCTTCTTCTTCCTGTGTGTGTACCTGTGCTGGGCAGTCTAGCACCAGGCTAACTAGTCTGAGCTTGTGTATATCAGCTCTTAATTATTACCCTATGATGAAAATACAACCCATCCATTTTTCAGGCTTTGGATGTGACATTCCCGTAAGGCCACTTTGGAGATTGGTGACTCATTATGGTAGCTGATGATCTCCAAGCAAAAGCCGAATTTAGAATTTAACTTTTCAGCTGCCAGGATCTGGGTGCAGCTGCCTCTTCTGCTGTTTCAAAGCTACCCTAGGGATTGGCAAGCTAAGATGAGCATCTGTATTTGCAGCTAGCCCTGACCTTTGTGAGCCTTTTTGTCTCACTCTGCTTTCAGTTTATGTTAGCTCTGCCTGAATTCTTTCCCAAGGGGAATAGATGTTCCTTCCAACAGCTGGGCAAATTAAATTATATTTAATCCATGTAATCTCATCTGCAACATCAAGGAATAGCAAATGGAGGAAAAATGCTTCTTAAGCAGGCCAGCCCTTGTTATGGATATGAAACAAGTACACAAATGCAGAAGTTAGACTCACCCCCTTGAAGCCATGTGCGAACCATCCACATCTTGTACTGCCACATGGTTGACATTGGTCAGAAAAAAGGCCATACAAGTGTGTGCGCGCGTGTGCGTCTGTGTGGTGGGCTCTTTCTGTGAGGACAGGTATTCTGGTCATACTCTGACTGTGGACTTTTTCTAGTTGATACAAAACACTGTGTACATCAGCATCCAGAGGATAGGGCTAGTTCATACAACATGCGTGCGCACCCCCCCCCCCAAGCAGAATTAAATGGTACTTTCCTCCTTAGAGTTTATTTTTGGACCTATTCCACTGTATGAATCACATTTGCCCTGCAGTAATTTCATGTCCTCTGCGGTGCTTCCAGTGAACAATTAGATAGATCAGAAGCAAAATATTTTGTCTTCCTGTGCAAAGAATACAGGTACAATGTCCTTCACAAGGATTTTGACAAAGTCATTCACCAAAGCTTCAAAAACAAACTCAACAGGCATTAAATAAGGGGACAGGATCTCCCACAGATTGGGAAGTGGCTAATGAAGAGGAAATGAAAAATAGCGATTCATCCAATATCCTGATAACCATGGCCCAAAGATACCCCAGTAACTATTTTTAAAGTACATGTATTTTATTTATTTAAAACATCTGTATAGCTGCCCATCTTAAATCAAACTCTAGGTGGCTTACAATCAAGAATAAAACCACATATACACAAGAAAACCAATAAATAAAACCAATAACCAAAAAACAGAAAAGCCTGGCCTCGTAGCCAAACGCCCCTGATGTAACCCACACATTGTCTCCACACTTGTCCACAGGTCATTCCCATGAACAGGCAGTTTACATTTGTCTTTATATTTGTTCCACTTTCCAAGTAGTGTTTTCCATCTTCTCCTGACACAAGCCTCAGATGGACACAATCTATGAAGTTTCATTGATGGTGTTGGTGATGACACACTCAGAGGCTGGGTTCTTCTCAGCTCTTATTGGCCAGTTTCAGCTGCTGTGGGCATGCTCCCTCCCCTCTAGTCACTGTGTGCTTTCTCCATGGTCGTTTTGCTTGGCCTGCAGATGGGAGAGGTGGACCTGGAAAGATGGAACACAATGAACCTGGGAAAGGAATAGATAGCTTTGTAAACAAACAGCAGGTGGAAGGTCTGCAAGCAATCCATTCCAAAAACAAACGAACAGGAGAAATATTTGATTATATGTATATTAGTTGTATGCTTGATTGCTCTTTGTGAATGTGAGTGTTCTTTTTTCTTAAAAAATCCCGTCTCAGCCTATGGGTGGTATGTATCTTCCTCAATCTCGGGTCCTCTACAGAGGCCTGGGAGTTTGAGGGTTCTGCGCAGTATCTTAGCTGTTTCTAGCACTGCACTCTTCTGGACAAAGAGCTCTGATGTTGTTCCTGGGATCGTTTGGAGCCACTCTCCCAGCTCAGGAGTCACAGCCCCGAGTGCTCCTACCACCACTGGGACCACTTTGGCCTTTACTTTCCACATCTTCTCTAGTTCCTCCTTCAAGCCCTGGTACTTCTCCTGCTTCTCATACGCCTTCTTCCTGATGTTGCTGTCACCATTACATCTATCACCGCCGCTGTCTTCTGGTCCTTGTCTACTAGCTGTGATGGACTGGAATGGTGGGAGGGGAGTAAAGAATGTGCTCTTATCTCCAGAGGAGCGAGGAAGAGATAAGCGGAGGAAACTGGCACCTCCCTAAGAAATGTTGATGTCAGGCCTAGCCCAAGGAACTCCAAGAGACCATACAGAATCAATCCAGCAAGGTTTATTAGCTACGACCCATTTACAAGAATCTTCCCAGAATGAAAACCAGTTCCTAGGCTCAGTCAGTTCACACCGATGGAATTTCTTAGGGAGGTGCCAGTTTCCTCTGCTTATCTCTTTCTCGCTCCTCTGGAGATGAGAGCACATTCTTTACTCCCCTCCTACCATTCCAGTCCATCACACTAGCCCATACACTGTGCAGATGTTCCTGTACACAATGCCAGCTACTTGGTTGTGCCGTTCAGTGTATGCTGTTTCTGCCTGCATCTTACCCCCTGCCACTATGTGTTGGACTGTTTCTGAGTCCTCTCTGCACAATCTGCACCTTGGGTCCTGTCTAGTGTG